ATGCCTTGCCATCCAAATATAGGCATCAAAGTTTCCTATCTCTACTAGAGGTGCATTGACACATCAGTCCCGTATTGGATCAGAACCAATATGAAGAAAATGTAATATATCAGAAATTAGCTATATCAGGCCAATAATGTGGCAGATAAATGGCCTATGCATGTGCGCAGCCTCAGCACAGCCCAGGCAGGAGCACAGCCCAGGCATGGAGAGCTGCCTCCAGCTGGTAAGTCTGGTGTTGCGGGGAGGGAGCTGGGGCAGGGACAAGCACTGCCCAGAGCTGCAGCTCATCTGGGGGTGCAGGGAGGTGGAGTTGGCTCCCGCCATCATGCAGTGCTCAGCCAGGAGCCACTGGTCAGGTGGCTTGTCTGGCACTCGCCTGCTCATCCAGGAGTGGTGTGTGCTCCTAGATTTGCTAAGGGTGGGCTGGGGGCAGGGCAGGGCTGGGCTGGGCTGGGCAGCTGCAGCATTGGGAGGGGGGCTACAGCAAATTTGTGGCTACAGCACCCTCCCCCCCAATAGCCCCCTTCCTAGTGCAGCCCCATTCTGCCCCACCAGGAGAGCTTGGCTCAGCCCTGGCCCCAGCCTGCTCTGCCCAGATCCAGGGGCAGCCCCCTTGCCCTTCTAGACAAGCAGCTGGATGAGTGAGTGCCAGACAAGCCACCCAACCAGCGGCTCCAAGCTAAGCCGTGCATGGCAGTAGGAGCCAACCTCCCCCCTCCTATCCAGATGAGCTGGGGCCATCCTGCCCTGGATGGGCAGTGCTTGCCCCTGCCCCAGCTCCAGCCCCACTCCTTCCTCCCTGTGAGGCCTTGATCTGCACCCCTTCCCCCTCCCCCCACACCAGACTTACCCACTGGAGGCAGCTCTCCAAGCTGCTAGGCTGGTATTGGAAACTGGATCGGTATTGGCAAATATGCCTCCTTAAAAATCGGTGATCTGTATCAGCCACAAAAATCTATGGGTACACCCCTACCCTCTACCATAAATGGGTGCAGAAGGTATGTCTATCAGTGAACAAGCATGGAAAAGAGAAGCTGCACGCAGGAAGAACACTGAAACTGATCTCTCCCCCATTTCTTTCAGTTGGACACTGCCACCCTGATGTAGTAAATGCAGCCAATGAACAGAATCAGTTGCTAAATACAAATTCTCGTTATCTCCATGACAATATAGTGGATTATGCAAGAAGACTTTCCAAAACACTGCCTGAGAAGTTGTGCACCTTCTATTTTTTGAATTCAGGGTAAGTAAAGAGAACATCTTCATGACTGAGATGCAGCAAACTTAGAAACAGCTGCCAAAACATCTCCATGTCTGTAGATCCATGGTTTTCAATCTGTAGTCTGTGGACCCCTGGGGGTCTGCAGATCATGCCTAAGGGGTCCCCAAAAGATGACTATGATCAATCAAAAATATGTGAATACCCACACTTACTGTTCAAAGGGGTCTGTACCTCCATTCAGTTTTTAGGGGTTTGCAAGTGAGAAAAAAAAGATTGAAAACCACTGCTATGGGCAATTAGATAGATTCTGATGTAGACCAGTTAAAGGGTGCTTTTCTGTGGAGGCTGCTGGACTTGATTCTTTCTTGAAGCTCTGCCACTCTAATATTCAAATTGGCACGCCAGCCTATTAGGAAAGTATAGTGTCATACTTAATGGTTTGTTCCTTGTTTTGTCTTCGACTGCTCTGGGTTATTTGTAACTTCATTTGCGGTCTAATTTCAAAATGTTGTGGTAGGGAGGACCCCTTTGCATATTGGGCAGGTTGTAAAAATATCATCATCTCTACATGCCAAGAAGTAAATTCAATAATGCATGCATTATCTGGACTTGTTTTTCAATTAATATGCTATTCCTAAAAGTCGACTCTGAATTAGTTTTAAAAGAGAGACTTTCTACAAATGAACACACTCTTAAGAGAGTATTTTATTGTTTCCAAAAGCTTCAGAGTATCAGGCAATGTTGTTTCAGCAACCACTTAAAAGCAGAGTAAATTTAATCTTTAGATTAGTTGCTTCAGTGCATAGATTCAAATTAATTGTCTGATAAAAGTACAAAAACAATTCAAAGGTTAATTCTTTTTCTCAGAAGCCTGGTGGCTTTTGAGCTTTAGCTAGTCATTTTTATATGATCTTTCTAACATGGAGGATTATAGGAATGTTAGTATCTCAAAGTAATTACAGCTATATTTTTTTGACCTACTTCTGTAGTTTTTACTTACTGAAATGGTAAAAAATGGCTTTGGGTCTTCTGCTGAAGGTTAAGTGCAGCTGCCATCCTCCTGAACATTTTTGTGCCTCCTGTTTTGCACATTGTGTTATTGGTTGATGTTCATCAGATACCGCAGGAGCAAGTCACAGCAGTGTGATTAAGTAAATGCTATTTCACAAAAGTTTGTGCTATATCTATCTGCTTGTTAGTCTGTAAAAAGCATACATCTACCCTGTCTTCTGTGGCCAGAATTTTAAAGCTTGGCCATTTATGCGATGGAACAGCTATTGAATTTTCATTTGTAGATCAGAAGCCAATGACCTTGCCCTGCGATTGGCACGACAACATACAAAACACACAGATGTTATTGTGTTAGATCAGTAAGTACATTTATAATATTTTATTATCCTTCAGTAACTTCAACTGCCATTTCTGATTGTGGTTCTAATTGCTACTCAGTTGCCCCATCTGATTCTAGATTTCTTTCAAGTAATTTTGTCTAGCAGAGGAATTAACTTAAGCTAATGACTATAGGCATACATGCCCCTCTGCCCTGCCCACCCCCCCCGGGCTTCTATAGCTGGAGTTCTAGGGTTCAATTCTGATCTGATAATGCAATACTGCTAATGCTGAACCTGATTTTGATGAGATTTTTCAAGGGCCCATAGCTTAAAAACCCAGCACAGATGCATAAAAGCCCAAAACCAATTCAGCTGGCTCACCAAGTTCTGTATACAGCTCTTAGGCCAGGTAACCCTGTCCAAAGGGTGAAAAAGCTGCACTGATTCTACAAGGTTGTGATGATGAGGAAATTACTACTTAGTTCTGCTGATTGTTTTTAAGTGCTTACCATGGACATCTGACATCCTTGATTGACATTAGTCCATATAAGTTCAGAAATCTAGAAGGACAGAAGGATTGGGTCCATGTGGTATGTACTACAGATTACAAACATTGACTATTAATTTGCTATCCACCTAACATAATGCATACTAAACCCAGGGCACTTTTCTATTTATAGGCTCCTATCCCGGACACGTACCGTGGAATATACAGAGAAGATCATAAAGATTTAGTTACGGCTTATGCCAATGAAGTGAAAGAAATCATTGAGCAAGCACACAAAAAGGGTAGAAAGGTAAAAAAAAAACACACACAAAAACACAACCACAACAAAATGAAAACAAACAAAAAATCCTCCCCACCCCCTTCAGTAAGCTATTTATTAATACTACCATGCAGTTTATTGGCAACCATCCATATAAAATAACTAGGTACCACAAGCCATCTGTGTTTTGAGATTGATCTGAGGCACAATAGCTGAGTATTTTTAAATGATTAAATAATAATTTAAAGAGCAAGACTAATCTGGCTCAGCACCTGTAAATTATGCAAGGATGTACTGCAGTTGCATATATATTACTTAAGTATGTTGCTTGTTACACTTTCAGATTGCAGCATTTTTTGTTGAATCTCTACCAAGTGTTGCCGGTCAGATCATTCCACCAGCAGGCTATTTCCAAAAGGTAGCAGAGTAAGTAAGCTTAAAAGCACCTCTTACGTGTTTTCTAAAAACTGAAGTTTTTAGACAGATCCATTTCATCTTAAACATGAAGATGAAATTTAATTTACAATTTAAGTTTATTGTACTTTTTCTGTCAGAATAACTTCTTCAGGAGAGACTTCTTAGTATATGTAGTATAGAATATCAAGCATGCTGTTAACACTGTAGGGCTTGTTTTGTAACATTTTAGGTCATTCCTATTTAAGTGCAAGTTTCTTATGAAATTTTAGTTGTCAAGTGACTATATTGGAGATGAAGGGTAAATGCAAAACTGAAATCAATATTACATTACAGACACGTGCACAAAGCAGGAGGTGTATTTGTTGCTGATGAAATTCAAGTAGGTTTTGGCAGAGTTGGCAAACACTTTTGGGCATTCCAGCTTCAGGGAGAGGATTTGGTACCAGATATCATCACTATGGGCAAACCAATAGGAAATGGGCACCCTGTTGCCTGTGTAGCAACAACAAAAGAAATTGCAGAATCATTTGCAGCTACTGGAGTGGAATACTTTAATACAGTAAGTACAGAGTTAACCCAAACTTTGTCATATAACAAACTAAAAGAGCCTTGCTTTTAAACAAGTGTCACTCTCAGAGGATACAAATTGATGTTAATTCAAAGCAACACTAAGCAATTACTCCCCATTAAGTAACACAGTATACTACTAAGAGTTCACACATCTACTTCCTGCTGTTCTGAATGGCAGAAAAGCTATGTAATAAGTAGTGCAGTAGGCATCAAATCCTGATGCCAAGAGTCAGAGGCACATTACAAGGTCTCACCTATAACATAAAAATATTTACTAATATCTAATGAAACAGATTTGAGTCCCTTATCTACATAATGGTCTCTCTTCTTTCCTTGAGCAGTTTGGAGGAAATCCTGTTTCATGTGCCATAGGCTTAGCAGTTTTGGATGTGATTGAGAAGGAGCATCTTCAAGCCCATGCCATGCAAGTGGGCAACTTCTTGATGGAATTACTGAATCAACAGAAAGTTAAACATCCTATCATTGGCAATGTCAGGTATCAACCACCAATTCAGATTTTCAGAAGCTGTTCAAACATAGATCAGAAACAGGTCCTCAAATCTTATGCCACCAGGTGCTTTTTTGGACAAGCAAATGAGGTACCAAGAAGTTAGAAAAACTTTCACTTCATTAAAATGCTACGACTTAGTTGACCTAGAAATTAATGCACCTGTGCCAATTACTTCTCTTGTAAGTTGCTAGATCACGTGCAACCACCACCTCTGCTATACCAATCGTTAGCAAAGGAGTTCATTTCTATTTACGTGCATTAAAAAAAAGCCCAGTGAATAAATTAGTTTGCCAATTAAAGTCCTGTTATACTTTACTAATGACATTCTGCTAAGTCTGCATTAATCAGCATATCTGTACAAGACTGTAGTACCTTTCTATCCCCTTCACTAAAGCAATTGGTGAAATGAAAAAAAGTATCACTAAAGAACAAACAAACCAAACACTTGTCATGGGACAGTATCTGCTCTGTATCTTTGATTATTTCTACTTCCATCTTCTTACAAGGGGTGCTGGATTATTTATTGGAGTGGATTTAATAAAAGACCAAGAGAAAAGGACCCCAGCTACTGAAGAAGCAGAGTACTTGATAACAAGGTTAGATTCCACCCCCCTCACCCCCAATAAAAGATGCTACAAGTCAGATGCTACATGTCAGTCTATCATTTCAGATTATTACTGGATTTGGACTGAGGCAAGACCTAAATGTGCCTGTTATGTACAGGTAGCCAAGCAGATTCCGTCAAGTGTGATTCTTTAAATGCACACTGCACAAAATACTGTTTTATCAGGCATATAGCTAATTTAATATCAAGATATTTGCATAAAATTCCAATGTCATACCTATGTAGTAAGCTCCCCCCCCTTCATTTTTTTAATTTCAAATTTTTTAAAAGTCTTAGATGCAGTCTTTATTTTCTAGACTGAAGAAAGAGTACATTCTGCTGAGTACTGATGGTCCAGGAAGAAACGTACTTAAGTTCAAGCCTCCAATGTGCTTTAGTGTACAGGATGCCAAATTAGTTGTGGATGCAATGGATAAAATATTAACAGGTAACTATGTTAAGTTTACAGAGGTATCTGTCTGACTGAGTGCAAGCTCTAATCTTGGCTGTTCCACTATGCTAACCATTGGGGCTTACCATTTTGACAGGGGCTCATAATGATCAACTGAAGTTCACAGTTAAGGTCAACACCTGTGTGTCCGTGTCCATCCATCTTCCCCCCCCCC